TGGCGGCCCAGGAGCACAGGTCCCCCAGCCTTAAACGGAGTCAGGGGTCCAAGAAAGCGACTCCGTCCTGTTGCTACTTGCAGTCAGTTGAGTTTGCGACGCCGCTGCTGAGAGCAGGGAAATCCTGAAGGGAACGCTTCGCGGCGCTGCGGGCGACTCGAAATGCTAGAGGGACCGGATAGCAGCCAGACGCGCCTTCAAATCCAGTGCAAAGGCCATATCCTGACACCAAGTACACTGCCGGGATGACACTGGCTGCCACGTTGGAGGGCACAACTGCTTCCAATGCAGACACGCGGCCAGACAGGATCAGGTGGTGGACGAACTTGCAATTGCGCTAATCGGTCATCGAGCACGCGATGGAACGGCGGATGGTGTCCAATAATTCAAGTACTATCGTGTAACAAAAACCGTTTCCCTGGTTCGAACAGCAGACTGGACTCGTTTGCAGCACGGCATTCCGTCCGTTAGGCCCCATGCGCCTTTTGTTTTCGCCGCTGTCCTCAGAGTTACCGTTTTCGAACAACTTCAAGCACATGAAGTACCTGTCCTCGCTGCGCTTGCTCAGGCAGTGCAATGTGAAACTTCGCTCCCTGTACAGGCTTCGCGATGCCAGATTGCCGAAGCTCCATCTTGGAGGCAGGCAAGGCAGATCTTTTCCCCAGTATCAGGCGCGATCGTGCAGCATCACATGCTGCTGAAGACCGGAAAACGACGTCACTTCGTCAGTCTAACCTCGGATAACGACAAACAGCACTAGCCACGAGTCACTGGTGGCCAGCATCAGGGCAAACAGCACCCGCAGCACCCGCAGCGCCACAGCAGCAGCAGCAGCAGCAGCAGCAGCAGCAGCGGCAGCAGCAGCAGCAGCAGCAGCAGCAGCAGCAGCAGCACCAGCACCAACAACAACAACAACAACCACAACCACCAACCACCAACCACCGACCAACAAACAATGAACAACAGACAACGGCCGACGGACAACGAGCAACGAGCAACGAACAACCAACAACCACAACCACAACCAGAACCACCAACCACCAACCACCGACCAACAAACAATGAACAACGGACAACGGACAACTAACAACCGCAACCACCAACCACCGACCAAAAAACAATGAACAACGGACGACAGACAACGAACAACAAACAACGAACAACCACAACCACAACCACAACAACAACAAACACCAACCACCAACCACCGACCACCGACCACCGACCAACAAACAATGAACAACAGACAACGGCCGACCCACAACGAACAACCGACAACAACGAACAACAACGAACAACAACAACAACAACAACAACGACAACAACAACAACAGCAACAACAACAACAACAGCAAGCGCAACAGCAACAGCAACAGCAGCAAGAGCAGCAAGAGCAGCAGCAGCAGCAGCAGCAATAGCAACAGCAACAGCAACAGCAGCAGCAGCAGCAGCAGCAGCAGCAGTCGCGGTAGCAACAGCAGCAGCAGCACCACCACCACTACCACCACCCATCAACAACAACAAAGACGACACTACGGCAACTATGCACGACCTGGAACAAGAAGAACGACAGCATTGACACTAACCTAAAGCACATAACAGTGATACGAAGAATAAAAACTTAGCAGGGCCACGCAAAGCTCACGAGTTCCTGTTGATTCTACACATTCCCTGATTACCTACACTCCCCACCAAATCCAAATCCTTGCGCATCTCTGCACTACTCAATCCCTGTCCGAGTCGATCTACTAACATCTGTTTCTCTGAACAGTCAGTCATGCTAACTCCCTGACGCAACTTGCGCCTTGCCTACGATTTAGTCTCTACCAGTGCAAACTAACGCTCAGCAGCAACCGCTTCAACAGCCAATCCCAGCAACAATGATGAGGAGTACCGAGCATACACTGCCGATGCTGTTTTTGTGTGGTCCTTGCCAGCCCCACCCATAACAGTCTGGAGAAGAACGCACAAAGCTTTCGCTCACAAGCCCCGGTGTCTAGTCGCAATACTTTGCCGTGCATAATCTCGGCGATTTGCGCCCTGCAGTCCAATATGCCGCAGCGTTCATGCTGTTTCAGCCCGCATCTACGTCTATGAATACAGCTGTCATCACCCATTATTTGCAAATATACAGCTTCAACGAAGCTGTAGATCAAGGCATTTGAGTACGTGTATTCCTTGTAGCTGGTGCTCTACTGTAATCGAAAGATGCTCTAGTTACAAGTGCGGCACACCTGTCTTCTGGAATGTAGCAATTGAGCACTTGCAGTCTAGAACCATGTATCCTGATTGTCTCAACATCTGGCTTGATTAAAACTGCGCTTCAAAATGGAGTCGCAGTAATGATGTCTCTTCAGCAAGTCATGGAGACCCAGCAGGCTTCAAATCTGCACACGGCTGCTTATCTTCACAATCTTTGAATCTGTACACTTGTCGATTTGTGCGTGTGATGCTTGCGCAGGCGCCGTTCCAAGTTTATCGGAGGCGTGTTTGTTGTCGGTATCGAACAGTGACGTGAACACTACTGGGCGCCGGGGTTAAGTCGACCCATCCCGCGTGAAGTCGACCCACCCCCATGGTCACGCCTCGATTCGTGTGAAGTCGACCCACCCTGAAAAAATCGACCCATAGATTAGGAGTCCCCAAGTACACGCTAGGTTTCAAGGGGATGGCCCGATGTGCAAAATCGATACAAAATGCGACACTCTCCACAAAAACTAAAGCCAAAAGATAAACGAATCGAAGTGAAAAGTTCTGGATGTTCTGGGAATCCCCAAGGACACGCTAGGTTGTTAGGGGATGGCCCCATGTGCAAAAACGACACGAAGTGCGACCCTCTCCACAAAAACTAAAGCCAAAAGAGCAACGAATCGAAATGAAAAGTTCTGGGAATCCCCAAATACACACTAGGTTTCAAAGGGATGGCCCGATGTGCAAAATCGATGCGAAGTGTGACCGTCTCCACAAAAAACTAAACCCATAGAGCAACGAATCGAAGTAAAAAGTTCTGGGAATCCCCAAGGACACGCCAGGTTGCGAGGGGATGGCCCGATGTGCAAAATCGGCACGAAATGCGTAACTCTCCACAAACACTAAAGCCATAGAGCAACGAATCGAAGTGAAAAGTTGTGGGAATCCGCAAGTACACGCCAGCATTCAAAAGCACGCGGCCCGATGGTGCTTGCATATAGCCCAGCTGGGTCGAGGTATATGCTTTCATTGAGAACCCCCCCCCCCCCACGTTCACACTGCCGTGGGTTGACCGTTGTGCATATCTCCAGGCGTGGAATCGATATATGCTGTCAACAGGAATCCCTATGTTCACGCCGCCACGGGCTGACCACTAAGCATGTCTCCAGGCTGGGGTGTATGTCTGTTTTCAGTGGGAACACCCAAGGTGCGGGTCGACTTTACACAACGCAGGACGACTTAACACACCTTCCCGGACCTACCCAGTAGCGAAAGTGACCGGCGGCAAGCGTATCCTTGATCGCTTGCTGAATTCATCTGTGTCTCGCTTCCCGGCTTCGGATCTAAGATACTTGAGCGTTTCGCCCATGAGAGTTCTTACTACTCTCGTCAAAACCACTGGTAGGCTAAGCCAAACCAACGAGACAAACTGTCACAGATAGCTAATCCACTTAGCTATTAAGCCATTCGATTTCTCCCGATGACAGAATATGACAGGAGAAAATTATGGCGCACCGGCCGACTTCTGCTAAGCCAAGCGCCCTCGTCTTCCGGTGGCGCTTCCATGGAGGCCACGTCGGAACCAGACTTGGATGACAAACGCCTTGCAGGCTGGAGTGGCGATGGGCCCGCTGACGGGGGCCACACGCTCGGCCTTGGCATCGATACTGCAGCGGCTTCCAGGGAATGCTTCGAGCTTTCGCAGGTTCGGTGCTCTGGCTTTAGCGACTTTGTAGAATACTCTTGACAGCGTGGGCCCTCTTCTGGGGGCCCAGCGAACGCGGCGCATCATCTTCGGACGGCGCTTCACTCGGGGCGTTCGGCTCTTCCGGCACGGCAGCTCCGCCGTTCTGCGGGCGGGCGCTGGAGGCGAAGCTTGCAGCTGACGGCCTGAGTCTGACCCAACCGAGAGATCGCTTCCAGCTCTGACTGGTCGCTGACTTATCCGTCTTGACATTGACATCCATTGAAGCGCCACTTTGAGCAAAGCTGCGCACACCGAAGAACAAATGAGCATCCGACGGTCTCTCCTCCGGCGGTGCTGCCGCTTCCCAGGGCGAGTGCAACTCGTCTGGTGCAGAGTGTGCAGTGAGAGGTCTGCTGCCGCGGTCGCCCTTTCTGCTCGTTGGCATGACGGCCGGCTTCCAGGCAGGCAATGGCCTGGGCCAATCCGATGCCAGCAAAGATGCAAAATCAACATGGGAAAGTTTTACGGATGGATATGTAGACTGACTGCACCACGAAGTTAAACGGGGTCGTGCCCGCTACTAGGCATCTTGCGCTGCATTTAAGCACGATGCGAATCCTCCTCTGGTGGTGCTGCCACTTCAGAGGGCGCATCCAACTCGTGGGGTACAGAGTGCAGGTAGCTGCCACTGTTGCTCGTTCTCGTTGGCAATGTGTTTTCCGGCAGTCTCGAGGACAGCCAAGGCTGGGACAGAGTGGGCCAAGACCCGAGCCTCAAGGGCAGCGCGGGCGGTGGTGTGGGTGCTGCTGCTGCAAACACACGCTGTGCTACCCGGCATCTAAGCATCCGGCTCTGGTGTTGCTGCTGCTTCTCCGGGTTCCTTGAAGTCTCGTGGTGCGGCTCGGGCAGAAGGCCGCTTGCCGGGACCACTTCCGGATGATCCAGTCAGAGCTGCTGATGCAAGCGGCATCGGCCTAGGTTCAGGCCAGGAGAGATGATGTTCTCAACTCTCCAGAAGGCCGGCTATTGCGACAGCACAACTACTTCAGAAATACTGCCACACGAAGGAGAATCGGAGAATCACCCCGGCCACACTTAAATCGGACAGGAGGTGCAGTCACTAATAGGGCTCAGCGCTTCCTCGATCTATCTCTTGTGTCGGCAGTTTTCTACTGCTGCTTCATGGTTTGCACCTTGAGCCGCATCATCTGCTTGGGCTCCGGCTGGTGCTCTGCGCTCGGTCGAACCTGAAGTTGGCCCATTTCCTGGCAACAGAAGAGCTACAAAGAAGCACGGCGCCACTACTTTTATATTTTCCGACATTCACGCGCTGGACTTGCACCTGCGCAATCTCCCGTTGGAGTTCATCTACCAGCTGCTTTTGCTCCTCCAGCATCGCTCGCATGCGCGCTCGCAGGACTTGATGGTGCGTCTCTGCCACGGAGATCGAGCCGCTTAGCCGGCTCGGTGATTCAGGTTGCTCCGAAGTTGCCTGTGAAGAACTCACTTGCAACTTCAGCCTGGAGTTCTCCAGCTCCAGCCGAGAGTTGCTGTCGCGCAGCTGCTGGCACTCTATCTCCAGGCTTCGCAGCCTTTCCTGCAACGACTCGTCACTGATCCTGGGCATTGGCAGCCTCATGCCAGACATCCTCTCCTGACATTCGCGTGAACCTTTGTCCGCAGGGGGAGCACATTCGGGAGACAGCCGCACTTGCCCGGGAAGCACCAGCTGCGTGTCCATTGCGCTGGGGCAAACACATACAACTCACATGGATGACTGTGCTCATAGGCCCTAATTGAACCCGAAACCCTTGAAGGGCAGAGCAGATAGCGATTAGAATACCTCTCAGTTGCAGGGGACAGCTATATGTCAAGATGCACAATAATCAACGTTCCACGTGCTTCAGGTTCTGCTGCCGGTTGCCATTGCCCGGAAGTTACTTGAGCAACTTGTGAAAAATGGGCCTTGTTTCAAGCCTGGCAGCAGCTTAAGGCTTAAGGCAGGGCGAAGTGTCGAACACATGGATTTGAAGCTACATACCCCCTCGCGGTGGAAACATTCGCACTTGCTCAAGGGAGACAAACTGCTCAGCCACCATCAGCCCCTCCTCCTCCTCCTCCTCCAACATGAGACGACGACCACAAAGCCCTAAAACCTTATCGCAGGGTTGACTCGTCGGGTTTACAGTAGCAATTGAAGAGCCGATGGTCGACCGTTGTCAGCCGTTGTCGCCAAGGGGTTGCTGGCCGCTGCCGCACTGCGGTTGCTTGTGCGGCAGCAGTTGGTCTAGTCACTAGGCTAGTCTCCACTACAATCGGGCCAGCCAATCTGCTTGTGGCAGACGCGGGGTGCCGACTGCTCGCCACAACAGCATGCGAGGGTTCATTCCTAAAGCCAGTACTAAGCTGCCGCGTTTGTTGCCTCGTGCACTACGTTCGTCGCAAGACGTGAAAGTGGTGCGAAGTGGAAGTCAATGCTAACCAGTCTTTGAAAAGCAGCTTCATCGAGTTACTTTGTCCTTGGCTTCTAACCAAGAAGTCAGTAAGTTAACAGAATATCAAAATAACAATACTAGTTAAGAATGACGGTGATAACCCCAAGCCACTGGACCTGCAAAGTGGGCTTGGGGGCAAATTATATATAAATTACAGGAACGATCCCACGATAAGATGCTTGGGGCAACGGTTTCGAGAAACCCAGCCCCTGAGCCATGACTCTCTTTCCTTGCTGATGCTGCTTCGACTTACAGTGTGAAACCTCGCTCTTTGTGCAGGTGTATGCCAAGCGATGCGAACTTGCCACAGCTCCTTTTGGAGGTCGGACAAGACGGCAACGAATCTAAGCGGCTTTCGGCCGCGAGAGGTCGCCAGATGCTCGGAACAGGACACAGTCACCACGTGCACAATAACCTTAGTTGCTCTTGCCCAACATATCCAGAGTCTAGCGGCAGCAGCACCAGCCTCCACGCAACGGCAACAGCAAGAAGAAGATAGGAATGCTCACGCGGAGTAGTATACCTGCCCCGATAAGAGATTCCAAAGCGTTTCGGGCCGCTTAGAACGGGCATAAGCGGCTGAAACCATTCAACCAGTAACCATGCTGAGGGGTTGTGAATGATTGATGGATATTGAGGGTCATGAGAGACGCTTGCAACTTTGCAGATCCCAGGATGTTGACGCCAAGAGACCCTGAGTATGCTAAACTTGTGAAACCACCCGGCCCCCCGCTTCTCACACCACTATTGCGTCGGCATGTTGCCAGAGCTCAGACAGTCAGGATGGGTTGCGCGAAGCTTTCTGTCGCTTTTTAGAGGATCTCGGGAGGCCTCGCGGGGCTTTCCGGTGTCCGAACCCCCCGCACAAACCGAAACTGGCCGGAGGGCATGTGAGGCTTCAAAGCTCCAGTCTTCATGACGTTGAGCTTTGAGGGTTCGGTGACCAGGTCGTACTGCACGAAAACTGTGCTTCTTGTTGTTGTTGCTGTTGCTGCTGCTGTTGCTGTTGCTGTTGGTGGTGTTGTTGGTGTTGCTGCTGGTGGTGGTGTTGGCCTGTTGCCGGGAGACCGCACGGACGCGGGACGCGGAGAATTTACCTGTTATGTACGCCCTCAAAGCACGTTCATAAAGGCCTAATATTGGCTCACAGTTTGGGGCAGCTAGGATACAAAAGCCGGCGGCCATGCCCAAGTTCGCAGTGATGAACTCTCCAAATCAACCACTCACCACAAAGAACGCACACACAGACGTGAGGTCCGCTTTCGCGAATGCTGCGATCGTGTCGGCCCAACCACAACAGTGTCCCAGGCAGGGCGTGCAGAGCAGCCGATGTGTCAGTTCTCTTCAGATATATGTATGTATGTATATATATATATACAAATAAAATAATACTAACAATAATTATTAATAAAAAAAATTATCGTAACAATATAATAATAAAGCCAAGCAGCATGGGTGGGTCCTCGTCCTCCGGCGGCGCTTCAACCGGGGCAACGTCGGAGCCAGACACGCTGCTCCGTGTAAGCCGAGATTGACGAGCGGACCCTTCGCGCCCGTAGATTGGCGGAACAACCGACCTTGGACAGGCTTACGAGAAACTCCTCAAAGTGCTTCAGACGACTGGCAGTAGACAGGTTCGGCTTGCGCATGGTGGTGCCTGCTGTTACCCATGAGGGTCGAAGCTCATTTGCATGCACCAATTCATGCGTGCACTTCTGTACCTTCTATGACCGGGGCTTTTTTCAACAGTACAGGAAAAAACAATGAACTCAGAGCATACGGGCCAAAAAAGGCCAAAAGCTGAGGAGGCCAAGCAAAACTAAGAAAAACTGAAAATAAGTAAAGCCAAATAAGTCCATGGCTCCTGGTCGCATGTAGCAGAAAAAAATTTGTGGAAAGGGTTGAGGAGGTGCCTGAGTGGGTCGTCTATAATAGGGTCACCATTGGGCTGCGGCATTGGTAGCCGAGAGAGTGGTTCCAGACGCTTTTGATCCTGCCGAAAGAGACTCTCTAGTATCTGAAAGCCTGGAAAATGGAGATAAATGGAGCAATAGTAAGGAAAACTTACCGAAACCGATGACAACCAACACGAAACAACACCTGGAAAATAGAGCAACAGTAAAGCAAACATACCAAAACGGAAGACCCAACAGAAACTACGAAAAGCTAAAACAGCATCGACAAAACTAGAAAACGCCCTAAAAACAAACTAAAGTAAACTAAAAAAACGCTAGAAAAATAAACAATTCCTAGATTTCGGGCTTGCCCCCAGACTTTTTTTCAGCAGCCTTCCTAAACAAGACTGGAGCCTCTCAGAGGCTCAGTAGCCCACTTTTGACTTGAACCATGATGCCGTGAGCATTCACGTGTCAAAGTCTCCGTCTAGCAGGTTTCACAATGGAATGATCCCTCATTTGCCCTGCTAGCGTGGCAAAAGATTGATGCCGGTGAGAAGGCCTCCGATATGACGCCGTGTCATCTGTCGATACCCGGCTACCCCCCCCTCTCCCACCCCACGAGGTCCCCAACATGCCAAGTGCAGTGACCGTCACAGGGACATTGGGTGCCTCTTGCAGTGGCGATCCACGTGTCCATCCCCAAGCAAAGAAAGGCACACGCACATCAGCATCAAAGGCCCAGCCGAAACAACAGTCCTCATGCTGGGATATGGCAGGGGCTGCAGGGCCGCAGAGGAATGCGACAATCCACAAGATCACGCGTGCGAGGGGAGCAAACTATCCAATGCTGGCGCCAGCAGACTGCGAGGCGGACCAGGGCCATTTCAGATGATTGAGTCAGTAACCACCTACCCCTACCACTCGCCAAGCTATAGCCTGGTGGAGTCACAGGAATGAAGTGGTGCTCAAACCTACGTAACTTTTCCGCTTACGGTGGGCTCGGGCTTCCATGACTGACACAACACCCGCACAGGGATGAAGTGAATGAAGTGGCCGTCCGAACGAAGACTAAAACCAAACGCATGCATTCATGCCAGGATTACCATATAAAAAAGCTCACCCGCATCTACAGAGGGATGGGGGTGGGGGCGTGGCTTGGCAAAACCGATTTGGCAGGGGGCTGGAAAAAAAAAACTGCTCTTCCCTGACGCCGGTGTGCCACATTTTCCCACGATCAAAACGACTTCTCGACGTCGCGCGTTGTGCTTTTTGGGACACTGACATCTACGAATCTACGTCGCGAAATCATCAACTGTCACAGGGATCGGCCGCAACCCTCGTGACAGTTCTCGCCGTTGGCGCCTCAAATCAACTGTGCGGCACAAGAGTATACTGCCTGTCACTTGGATCGGTCATCTGAGCAGTGTTGCTGGGCCTTGGGCGGTGCAGGATCAGCTGTGCTGCTATGCCCTCCCTAGGCGAACCTGAGAATCGAACAACACCGACAAATGAGCATCCGACGGCTCCTCCTGCTCAGGCGGGGCTGCCCCTTCCCAGGGCGAGTGCAGTTCGTCTGGTGCAGAGTGCATGAAGCACGAAGGCAGTCTCACCGGAGCCGTGCGAGCTGATGCAGTGAGAGGTCTGCCGCTGCCGCCCATTCTGCTGGTTGGCATCGTGGCGGCTGGAGGCCTCCAGGCGAGCGCTGGCCTGGGTCAACACTTTCCACGCCACCCGCGACTCGATGGCAAAGATGGAAATGCAGGTGCTAAGGCTAAGGGGGTGCCCGCTATTAAGCAAATCTCGCGCTGCATCTAAGTCGCGACTCCTCCTCTGGTGGTGCTGCCGCTTCACTTGGCGCATGTAACTCGTCTGGAGCAGACTGCATGTAGCTGCCACTGGTGCTCGTTCTCGTGGGCAATTCGTTGTCCGGAACTCTCGACGACGGCCAAGGCGGGCATGCCGTGGGCCAAGACCCAAGCCTCAAGAAACAGCAGGCTTGGGTGGTGGCGGCATGGCACAAGACGCATTGGACAGGTCGTGCTGGGCATCTAAGCATCCGGCGGGTCCTCCTCTGGTGGTGCTGCAGCTTCTTGGGGTTCACTAAGGTCTCGCGGTGCGGTTTGCGCAGAGGCCCACACGCCGGGGCCGCTTCTGGCTGATCCAGTCACAACTGTTGATGCAAGCGGCATCCGCCTAGGTTTGGATTCTCTGCAAATACAACTCAAAATGTGCAGTACCGGCACAGCTGGGACGACACGGAATTGGTGCAGGAAACGACAGCTCGAGTTAAACAAATGATACTGTATTATATGTTATTATATACTTTATTTACATGTATGTATTTTTATTTTACCAGTACCTAAAAACAGATGTTGAAACAAAACACCGCCAACCACATGCCAACGCAACAAGCACAAAAAAAAAAACTGTACCAACATCCTGTACCTACCAGCGAAACACCCGAAATGCTCTCCGACCGTTGCCAAAAATGCAGAAAGTTGTCGTACGAAGCATAGATCAAAACATAAATAAGAAACACAATCGACCAATCATGCAATCAGGACATGTCGAAAATTCAAAAGCCACGAACACACATTAGAGAATCGTAGAATGAGTTGAAAAGCAAGAAACAACGGACCCATGCTTTCTTCGTCATTTCGAACGAGCAACCCCCGCGCGGTAAACCCCCTCTGAAGAAACCCCCCCACCATGTATTGCAGCCCTTTTCGCATGGAGATCTTGGGGTTAAAACCATCGCAGGTCAAGGCTTACACGTGCTACGTCGTACTACCATGGTTTTTCCTATCCTTTCGAAGCAACGCCCCAATGCATGTCGTCTTGCGTAAGCAAGACACCCCCCGCCTGATCGCATTTGTGTCCGGCCAGGGCTGTAAACCATGGAAAAAACAGCTGGGACTCGGGCTGTCGGGGTTCTGCCTCCGTGGGACGAGGCTGAAGGCTCATCTCCTGGCAACACTAGCACGGGAGAGTACAAAGACTCTCGACACCACAGTCAGCTCGAGGTTCAGAGATTCAGGGGTGGGCTGCGCCTCAGCAATCTCAAGTTGGAGTTCATATACCAGTCGCCTTTGCTCCTCCAGCATGGCCCGCATGCGGCTTCGCAGGACTTGGCGCTGCGTCCCTGCTGCAGAGATCGAGCCGTGCAGGAGGCTTGGCAATCCGAGTGCTTCCGAACTGGGTTGTCCTCCCTGCGAAGAGCTCACTTGCAGCTTCAGCTTGGAGTTCTCTAGCTCCAGCCGGGAGTTGCTGTCGCGCAGCTGTTGACACTCTATCTCCAGGCTTCGCAGCCTTTCCTGCAACGACTCATCGCTGAGCCTGGGCGTTGGCAGCCTCCCCCGGTACATCCTCTCCTCGCATGCACGTGAAAATTTGTCTGCGGGGAGACCGGCAGGAGAGAGCTGCATCTGCCCCGGAAGCTGCGGTTCCATCCATGGTGCCCGAGCTGGCAAACTCATTCGAGCCCTGCCTTGTCTGAGTCACATTGTCCGGCTGAGATGACTCCCCAAGCCTTACCGACACAGCTTTCAACGATTCCCGCAGAACTGGTCGTATTTAGGTTGTTTTGCACTGGAAACAGTTCTGGATATGATGAAGTATCCTGTAACGTGAACATCTGAGGATACCCGTTTGCGATGGCAGCTCCAAGACGTGCAAACGGCTGCCTCATGTTGGAGTGTCCACCAAAGCTTCACGAGGCTGGCGGAATCTCGGAATGCCGACAAAGTGTGGGTCAGCTGCCAAACAGGCTGTGTGAACCATTTCGGGAACTACAGTACTAATTGCTGTATGCCGGCGAATGGATGCACGGACCGTCAGGCCGTCAGGACAATACGCAGCAACACAAGCAGACTTTCAGAAATGCGATCAGTCTCCATGCCTATTGAAGAAGCGAGTTAAGAAGTGCTATCGACCGCCATCGGCTACTGAGAGACCTGTCTTAAGAAATATGAGCAAGATGAGCAGCGGTGTGATCAAGCACCATCGCCCGATGAGGAGGCGGCTTTGAGGGAACGGGTTCAAGCGAAAACAAGACGGGCCGATTTAAGAGATGTGATATGCGGGCATCGCCTAGTTCGGGGGGCAAGAAATGCGATCAGCCGTCATCGCCAAATGAGGGGACGTTTTAACAAATGTTGTGATCAACCCTGATCAAGCGCCATCACAAAAAGAGGAAGCGAGTTTTGCGAGACATGTGATCAACCGCCATGGCCTAACGCGTTGCGCCAGCTCTCATGTGCATCTTTTCTGCGCCGCATGCGAGGCCGTGTCCAAGCTTGAGAGTCCAGCTGTTTTCAACAGCCTCAAGGCCATGACGATCTCTCCTCGCTGACGCCAATTAGAGGATCCTAGAACGATGTGGTGAGACCTCGCTTTTTGTACAAGTATCGCAAGCGATTCTATGTTGCCACAGCTCCGTCTTGGAGACTGGACAAGACGGTGCAGTGCTGAATTGTAAAAGGCTTGTTTAGGCAGCGGACTGCGCAAGACCATAGCTGGTGAACTTTTCAAGTCTGCCTTGGTGCCAACAGCTTATGCAAGGCTATTCCCGGAGGCCCTAGGCGTGTCGATGTCGGACTATCAGCAACTGAGCTTGAAGCAAAACTTCTGCCAGGTTATAAAACGTGCCCGCGAAGCGTCAGATGCCGTGAGAAATCGGAAAACAATGTCACCGGGTCCAAAGTAACCTGAGTTGTTCTTGACTTTGCCAGCTTCCACATGCTTTGGCTGAACTCTTAGTCTAGTCTAGTGTTTGTGAGCAAAAAGCTGGCATGCATTAACAGCTCATGTCAAATCGACGAGAGCAACACCAGCAGCGACAGGAACGACAGCAACCACACCAAGAAGTAGAACAACACTTATTGAGAATTAACAAGAGAAACGTAGTCGAGAACCAAGAGCAATAGCGCCGCCAAAAAACGTCACTGTGAACCTCCGGCCGTACTCTGCGTGTGCCCACCTATGTCGGCTCTGATTGCCTCACTAGACCTCCTGAGTCCGGACGCTCATTATAGGGTTCGTCCGTGTGGAAGAGGGCTCCCCGCTCAGATCTTTGATGATTTGGGGGGAAACCCCAAAACCTCAAACCTAAGGTTGCTGACAGTATGCCGGTAGTATGAGTCTGGTGCGTATGTGTGTGCGGGTGCGCATATATCAGAAACATAAACAAATACATAAATAAGAAAAATAAACATATACATATGTTTATATATATGATATGTATATATATAT